GCACCTCTCCATCACTTTACTTATAACAGAAAGCAGAGCTATAGGCCTGTAGTTGTAAGGGTCGGTTTTAGATCCTTTTTTTGGGATGGGCTGTACATGAGCAAATTTCCAGGTTTCTGGGAAGGTGCCGGATTCATAAGATATCTGGAAGAGACGCGAAAGAACTGGAGCAAGCTCAGCTGCACATCTCTTCAGTACAATGGCAGGAATCAACTCCGGACCAGAAGCTTTGTTGATGTCGAGCGACAAGAGCACTCGTCTTACGGTCTTATGCCTGAATGTTACCTCCCGCATAGTGTGGGGAACCCTTTGAATTGACGGCACTTGGGCGTTGGTGGGGACGTCCATGGTGGAGTTGGCAGCAAAGATCTTGGCTAGCACTTCCGCCTTGGCCTTTGAGTCGAATACAATAGTTCCATCCTGACACGTAAGTGGTGGAAGGCTACTGTGTGAGAAGTTCTTTTCAATCTGCTTGGCCAGCGTCCAGAAAGACCGACTGCCATTGCGCTGCGACATTACCCTGTGCCTAACTTTTATATCATGCTGGTTTTTGGCATTGCGAACCGCTTCGTTATATTTGTTTCTGGACTCGACGTCGGCTTGTCTGTTCTCTACAGTGGGGTTTTGTAAGTAGGTTCTGTGGGCCTTGATCTTCTGCTGGCGAGCAGTGTCACACGATTTGTTGAACCAGCCGTTGGACCCTGGTTTAGGACCTTTCACTGTGTGGGGGATGTATTCCTCCATTCCGACGTGGATAATTTCGGTCATTGAAGAACAGACAGTCGACGCATCCGCGTCAGTGAAACATACATCTCTCCAAGGAAAGCTAGAGAAGAAGTCTCTGAGCCCCTCCCAGTCGGCATGTCCGTAATGCCAAGTTTTGCGGCCTGTGCGAGTTTCTGCGGCCACAGCGGCTTCTGACCGAAACCTAACCTCCACAACACCGTGATCTGAGTTACCCAGGGGGGACAGGACGGCAGTGCTGTAAGGGGCAGGATGCGTGGTCAGAAAGAGATCCAGCAGGCTACTGGCGTGTGACGAGACGCGGGGGAAAAAAGTAGGGCTCGTCACCAGCTGAGTAAGAGCGAACGTTTCGACTGCACGACCTGCTGCATCGGTCTTATTTGAGCCCAACCAAAGCTCATTATGGACATTGAAATCACCGAGAAGAACTACCTCTGAAGCGGGGTGATTGATGTTCAGGAAGTCGATCTGGACGGCGAGGTATTCGAGTAGGTCATCCCAGTTATGGTTCGAGGGAGAGCGATAAAGGCAGCAAACAAATTTGGGTGATGTTTTGGAGTTGAGGCGAAGCCACAGAATGTCCTTCCGGTCTGATTCCAAAGAAAGATCCCTGGAGCAGGAAAGACTGCTGCGGACAAAAGCCACAACTCCCCCGTTCTTTCTCAGATTGGAGTGCACCTCGTAGTTTGGGAAGTTGAGATGGTTAATCGGTGTAGCCTCTGAGATTTTTGTCTCCGCCAAGAAAAGCACGGCGGGACGATTGGATTGCAGGTAGTGATGAACAGCATCAATGTTGCTGTTGATCCCGCAGATGTTCGAAAAACAAATTTTATCTTCGATGTTGTTCCCTCGAGCCCACCCTCCACCCGGACATTCCGAGAGTGGAGTGAGTTTACGTCCGGAGTTTTTAGTGCTCGAGGGATCCATCATCATTAATTTCTTTGTTTTGGTAGATAACCGACTGCATAGCTTAGGTGTGGAAACATGCGGACATTTATAAGACACCCTGGGAAAAGCTAGCGGATGGTACTGCCTCGGTCGACTGGTCCTTGTCTACCACCTTCTTTTTACGTATTAGTGATGCATATCCTTTAGCGATATTATTGGGCTGTATTTCTTTGAATAGAATAGAATGACAATTTGTTTGCCCTTATATGCTGGGACACCCTACTGTATATGTACAACCTATGACTATCTTTAATTCGCTGCTAATCGAAATCCGCACAAACAAACAGCTAGTTTAATTAATCGGTCTGATTGATATGTTTATATCGCGTTTAATCAAGCTGAATTGTTTTTCTGACTGCACAACCGTTCCGCATAAACGTTAACGGAACGCTTTTACGGCCTGTTGGGCGTGCAGGTTTAAAATGTTCAGGAGTTTATTGCCATCGTCGATCAAACCAGTCCTGTTAAAAATAGAGTGGAAACGGAGTGCATTTGGCTCTTCAACGGTTCAATCTAGCGCAAAATAATTGTTTATAGGATTCTTGATTTTTAAGTTACATGTACTTGATTGGAAATCATGTCGTAAGAGGATGCTGACCTAAAAGAAAAGTGCATAAAATCCTTGTCAAAACTGATTAACATTTACAACTCACGTGACGTTTTTGTTAATCCAGATAAAACAGAAGTTAATAATTTGGCAATTTAGTATTATAAATGTACAAAGGTACATATACAGGGTGTTTCAGTTTCGGTAGAACTTTTAAAATTAATGCATAAAGTCTATATAAACATGGGTCGAAAAATGCGTGGCTTCCGAAATACAGGGTGTTTAAATTTACTTTCTAAAATAGTTTTTTTTAATTATTTCGAACAATATTTGATGTATAACAGTGAAAATTGGTATACAAGGGTTTTTTGGTATGACAAAACGAACCATGGGCATAGTTTTACTGTAGCCGCTAGAGGGCGCTCTCTACTGTACCTGTAGTGTATTAAAATGACCGAAAATGTTTTCTTAGTGCAATTTTTTGCTTTTTGAATAAAAAAACTGATTCTTCGCACTTTTCAACATAAAAAAGCTTTCTTGTGAATTTTTGTTATAGTTAGTCGTTTTTGAGATATTTCGATTTTTAAGGTTCGATGCATTTTTAATTATTTATGATAAAGTAACGTTAAAAAGTCAGTATTCTTAAAGGCTGGACATGCAAATATGTGGGATGATGATTATGTTAGATTTAAGAAGATTGGCCTGGTTCCAGCTTGATGGTTGTCCAGCTCATTATTCGAGAATAGTTAGAATCTGGCTGGACGAAAATTATCCAGAAAGATGGATCGGCCGTGGAGGACCGGTCACCTGGCCTCCACGATCCCCTGACCTAAATTCATTAGATTTCTTTGTGTGGGGATTTCTAAAAGAAAAAGTGTACCAGACTCCCGTAACAACAATAGATATGCTAATAGACAGAATCAGGAATGCATGTGATGAAATAAGGCCTTATTTGAATAATGCTATACCACGTTCGATCATTCGTAGATGTGAATTGTGTATTGAACAATTGGGTTTACATTTCGAGCAACTACTTTAGATTTTGTATGTTTGTCGTAACTATCCAATAGCATTTTAGTTCTAAATAATTAATTTAATTTGTTAAAAATACGAGTAATATTGGAAAATTAAACAAATTAATATTCTGTTTTTTGTGTTTATTTGGAGTTAGGAATTATTGCTGTGTTTAAAAACACAATCATCATAATTACTTGTAATGCCCAAATCGAAAATGTAAAAAAAATATTATTTTCCCATAAATAATTAAAAATGCATCGAACCTTAAAATACGAAATATCTCAAAAAGGGCTAACTATAACGAAAACTCACAGGAGAGCTTTTTTATGATGAAAAGTTCAAAGAATCAGTTTTTTTATTCAAAAAGCAAAAAACTGCACTAAGAAAATTTTTTCGGTCATTTTAATACACTACAGGTACAGTAGAGAGCGCCCTCTAGCGGCTACAGTAAAACTATGCCCATGGTTCGTTTTATCGTACCAAAAAACCCTTGTATACCAATTTTCACTGTTATACATCAAATATTGTTCGAAATATTCAAGAAAAACTATTTTAAAAAGTAAATTTAAACACCCTGTATTGCGGAAGCCACGCATTTTTCGACCCATGTTTATATAGACTTTATGCATTAATTTTAAAAGTTCTATCGAATCTCAAAGTTATGCAACAATAAACTGAAACACCCTGTATACTAAGACTTGCAATATGACTTAACAAACGGACGCGGGAGGCTGCATGTCCATGAGTGCATAGTAGCCGCCTTCAGCACGTCTGTTGATTTAGTTGTTCATTCCTATTGAAATCATATCGACCTCAAATAGACATCATATCCATCCTTTGTATTTGATGTTTCATACGACATACTACAACGTCATATAATGACGTCAATCGGGAGTGACATTAGACCGTGACAATTACGTCATTTATACGTCATACGAATTGACAGTGTACAGTGTCTAAAAAACACATAAAAAGTTTAACAAATGGACCATCGAGTATAAAGCTTTTTATGCACACTTTTTTGTGAGCAGTGATATTCACACGCACAATACCAGAATCAAAAGTCAATTACCTTTACATTTATCTATATTTAACTACAAAGGCAGCCAAATCTCACAAAATTACTTACGATTACAAATTTTCAATATTCAAAAAAAGTGCGGTCCGTAAAATGAAATTTGAGAAGGTTTCTGTTCAAACAGTGTTTTTATAGTGTTGAAGAGTTTTTCTCCTATAAGAATGTTTGAAGTGTAGAAAATTTGTTTTATTGTTATTTTGTCTTAGTTTAAGTTTAGTCGCCAATTCCTATATGTTTTTTGTTTCTAACATCAACAAGAAAATGAAGAATTTTAATTTGAATTTGAGATATTAGCAATCTGATACAGTCAAGTAGTTTTTACGTTTATCTATCAAGTGCTTGATACTCAATAATTTTTCTATTATACTACGAGTAGCTCAGTTTTTTTTAAAGCGCTCAGACCCGTCGATTTTGTTTTCGAGGGGGACTCAAGTTTGGCAAAAAATTACGTTAACACGTGCAGCCCCCTAAGCGGGGCTGGCACCAACCTTAAAATCTTAAATGGAAAGGGGCGTCGAGTGATACCTTAATTTAAAGGTCTTTCAATTCCCTTTATAATGATATCAAATTAATGTAATGTAATGTAATATTGTTCATTGCATAACAAATAATAGAACGATCATGCTGAAACATCAAGGAGAAAAAAAAAACATGACAGTGACTTACCTTTTTTAGGCTTATCACTAGTAATATCACTGAGTCGATCGCTGAGCAGGTCCTGCGTGAACGTGTCCTGATCGTCTTCGTGGTCCACGTTATTTTCTGGGGCCGTGATCGACAAGTTATGGCACACTTCGAACGCCTGGCCTATCGTACGCACCACGCGCATCGCCTGGCTCTGAAACAACAGAAAAAATCTTGAATCCATAGAAAAATTGCTTATCCGGATAGAATAATCCAACTCGACATGTTTCTCGTTAAAAGAAATGTAGTCAAGTACGCTGACTCTGCTCAAAAAATTAGTATAATAGAGAGATTAACGGGATCAAGTCAGCAAAACAGGCTCATCCAATTGGTACCCAGTCCCTAACCGTTTGATGTCGCTAGAAATTTTTCGCTGTCCTAGTAAAAGTATCATCATCTGGCAATATTACGTTAGCATCAAGCGTAGACAGAGCTTTTTGCTATGCAAATAATAATTTCTCCATTCTAAGATGTCCCACGCACTCCTCAGCTGGGATCAGTCAGCACATATGCGAAAAGTTCAGGTTAAAATATCCAGTACACCCTTTTATTTCGTTATTGTGCTTTTTAAAATGATTGTGATAAAGATATTTATTGATCTTGTGCATATTTTTTCGTGTTTATTGTTCCTTTTATATTTTATTGCTGATAAATGTCACCATTGTCTTTTTTTTGACTTGATGCTCTGTGGTACGCCTCCGTCGACCAGTTGGCCTTCTTCCTGTTCCTCTACTTTCTTCTATCCACACACGACACACACGCATTACCGTCAATGCAGTACAATTAATACGGCCGCCGATTTTGCGATAGGACCAACCTACATCTCGATAGGCAATAATTTTACCCCTGTCAAAGGCGCTAACATGGTGTTAATTTGGACGTCTTCTAACTCGAGGCATTTTGTTATGCTTAGCACTAGTAAATGAAAGGGCAATAACTAATAATATCTGTACTGCTCAGCCCCATAAAAAGATTTTAACAAATGTAAACAAACACAAGGGTAGAACATCGACATTGTTGCCGTGGCATGTTTTAAATATAGTCATTATGTTGCGAAAAAAACAAGTTGAAGAAATCATTTTTTCTGGATGTAACACTGTTGTCACTAGGTATAGATGATAACAAAATTGAGATATGATATGAACTCCTTCAGCTCCTACAATGCTCAACTCCCAATCTTTCACCGCATCTTTTTCTTTTAAATGATCAGGTGCTGCCGAATCGCTAAAAGACGAAGTTTGGGCGATGTTTATTTTTTTCTGGAACAATTTCCAAAAGCTACAAAGCTCTTTCGGTCTTGACATAGCAGTATTTTATGCGAGAACCATGGATCATCATCATAATCATATCCCGATTGATAGGCTAACAGTTGACAGACTGAGAGATAGTTACACTGACAGTTGACATACTGACTGAAGTGAGCGACAACGTTTTTGGAATACAACGTCCAAAAGACATTAATTCTCATTTTCGAAATACTTATCTTCGTCATAGTGCTGCGGTCCGTTAAGGGATGTCGATGTCTCTGTGAAGGATTTTAGAAATGTTTAGCGATTGGACGCGTATTGTGCACGTATTGCCACAGTTTTCTCGCTTAGCAGAAGCCAAAGACCTGTTAAAAGCTTTTTGTGACGAAGCACTCAACATTTAGTGCCGATTTCGGCATAGCTGAGAAACAGGAAACGATGTAAAGTCACGTCCTGGCAAGTAATAACCTGCTCACCGTTTTACAAGGAAAGTAGCAATTCGGTATCGGAAACGACTGACGTAATCACGGTATGGTATGGAACGTGAGCATTGGCGGAAATAACTGTATTTTCGTAAAAACTCGTCTGTTTATAGTGCCGGATTGGTGTCGGTTTAATAATATTTTCATTTCTGCGGAAATACCTCATAGTATGAAGAATTCATAAACGCGAGGAACGTTTTGCCAAAATTCATACGTTGACCTCCCCAAACTTGCTTTCTCTTTTTGTGAACGCTTTGGGCTTGAAGTTCTAGTTGTGGTTAGATGTCGCCTTGAAAACTCGAGGTCTTCTGGCCATTAAACTACCGCCGAATGAAGCTTTTTGACTTCTACCAATTAAAGGCTTAGAATAAGAGTTCGTGGTTCATTGTATTGAAATCTTTTGAAACATCAGTTAATAGTGAAATCGGGCATTAGCGTCTCAGCAAGTTTATTAAAAAGACCGTCAAGCTGACAATATTTATGAAATCGGCACATCGTACAAAACACATTTTAAAAATATGATTTTTATTTACGTTTTATTCGAAGTCAAAAGCCTGATCGTCAAAAATCGCCAACCGAAACACACAAAGACGAATGCTTTCAACCTACATACGTTCGCATAGAGCATCATAAAAATAGAACTAACAATTTATAAACATGCGTGAGATTTTTTCATCATATTCTCAGTCAATCCGGCAATCTGTGTAGTATAAATATAACGTACTGACTGACGACGGATTAACATCCAAGAAAAAATATACAAACATATACGATCGGATACAGTTTGCAATCACCACTTACTGTCTTCTCAAGGTGTATCCAGCGTAGATGATTTAAGATTTTTTTACTACCGGCGCTATATAGGCGATTTCAAATAGTTATTTTTGCCTTCGTTCTAAAAATATCAAGTGAAACCAGCGCCGATAAAAAAAAGCACGAGATATTACAGAATTGGTAAAGTTCAGTAGTTATCTCCACCTATAATGAATAAATAATGTTAAAAAAAATGTGACGGAAATGGATGAAATTTATCATTTATTACAAAGTTGATACTTGGAATAATTACTTGACCATGAGAACAAAACTTTGTTTACACCACCTTCGCTATGACCGATCGTCAAACTTGAAGTTTGTGGTAAGTAATTTGTTATAAATCTTTTGTGGTGAAATTCGTGACGTTCTAGATTGTCCGCCATGTTGCGTTTTGAAAAATAAGGTTCGACATTTTTTTCAGGCACAATAAATTTATTATTTGAAAAAATGATGTTGCCAGATTTCGCTTAGCAAAGAAACAGCGGCGGGAACCTTGAAGTAGTAGCATATAAAACCTAGAATCAGACTTGATGATGACAGTGATGATGATGTTGTTGATGGTGATAACGATGTTGATGATGATGACGATGACGTTGATGATGATAACGATGATGTTGATGATGACGATGACGTTGATGATGATAACGATGATGTTGATGATGACAATGATGTTGATAAATGATAAATTTTAATAGCAGTTTTTTTTCTTCAGACAGTTTGAAATCGTGAATAGATCAGCTTTAAACAGTGGCATAACAAAATGATAAATAAAACAATATAATAAACAATATTTACTCACTGATAAACTTACATTCATTATACAAACATTTATGTATTAAAAAACCTTTCAAACAATACCTAAAGTAATTTTGATTTGTTATTCCTAACTTTTGGAAGGATGTTAAAGATTTTGGGACCAATTATGTATAACATAATATATTATAATTAGTTGACCATGAGAACAAAACTTTGTTTACACCATCTTTGCTACCATCAAACTTGAAGTTCGTGACGTTCTAAATTGTCGACCATGTTGCGTTTTGAAAAATAAAGTTCGCACATTTTTTCAGGCACAATAAATTTTTTATTTGGAAAAATGATGTTGCCAGATTTCGCTTAGCAAAGAAACAGCGGTGGGAACCTTGAAGTAGTAGCATATACAACCTAGAATCAGACTTGATGATGACAGTGATGATGATGTTGTTGATGATGATAACGATGTTGACGATGATGACGATGACGTTGATGATGACAATGATGTTGATAAATGATAAATTTTAATAGTAGTTTTTTTCTTCGGACATAGTTTGAAATCGGCAATAAAGCAGCTTTAAACAGAGGCATAACAAAATGATAAATAAAACAAGATAATGAACAACATTTACTCACTGATAAACTTACGGTCATTATACAAACATTTATGTACTAAAAAACCTTTCAAACAATACGTAAAATGATTTTGATTTACTATTCCTAACTTTTAGAAGGATGTTAAAGATTTTAGGACCAAGTATGTAAAATATAATATATAATAATTAGTTGACCATGAAAACAAAACTTTGTTTACACCATTTTCGCTATGACCGATCGTCAAACTTGAAGTTTGTGTTAAGTAATTTGTTATAAATCTTTTGTGGTGAAATTCGTGACGTTCTAGATTGTCGACCATGTTGCGTTTTGAAGAATAAGGTTCGCACATTTTTTTTCAGGCACAATAGATTTTTTATTTGGTAAAACGCTGTTGCCAGATTTCGCTTAGCAAAGAAACAGCGGTGGGAACCTTGGAGTAGTAGCATATAAAACCTAGAATCAGACTTGATGATGACAGTGATGATGATGATGTTGATGATGATAACGATGTTGATGATGATGACGATGACGTTGATGATGACAATGATGTTGATAAATTATAAATTTTAATAGTAGTTTTTTTTCTTCGGACCTAGTTTGAAATCGTCAATAAAGCAGCTTTGAACAGAGGCATAACAAAATGATAAATAAAACAAGATAATGAACAACATTTACTCACTGATAAACTTACAGTCATTATACAAACATTTATGTACTAAAAAACCTTTCAAACAATACGTAAAATGATTTTGATTTACTATTCCTAACTTTTAGAAGGATGTTAAAGATTTTAGGACCAAGTATGTAAATATAATATATAATAATTAGTTGACCATGAGAACAAAACTTTGTTTACACCATCTTCGCTATGACCGATCGTCAAACTTGAAGTTTGTGGTAAGTAATTTGTTATAAATCTTTTGTGGTGAAATTCGTGACGTTCTAGATTGTCCACCATGTTGCGTTTTGAAAAATAAGGTTCGCACATTTTTTCTCAGGCACAATAAATTTTTTATTTGGAAAAACAATGTTGCCAGATTTCGCTTAGCAAAGAAACAGCGGTGGGAACCTTGAAGTAGTAGCATATAAAACCTAGAATCAGACTTGATGATGACAGTGATGATGATGTTGTTGATGATGATAACGATGTTGATGATGATGACGATAACGTTGATAATGACAATGATGTTGATAAATGATAAATTTTAATAGTAGTTTTTTTTCTTCGGACATAGTTTGAAATCGTCAATAAAGCAGCTTTA